AAGTACCAAAAATAAGCTTATTCTCACAACACAGCAAAAACAGTTTTTTTTTAAAACACAACAATACTAAACCAGCCCTAAAGTGTATCTTAGCCCTGGTTTGGTACTAAGGTGTTTTTGAAAAAAATGGGTATAAAAAAAAAGCTGAGAGCTTTGTTATGTTTAGTAAACATTCAATTTCAGTTTTTTTTCACAATTTTGAGTGAAAAACAAAAATAAAAAACATAAAGCTGAAAAACCCAACTCAAACGGTGTACATTTATTCGGATGATATCAGTCAAAAACGGGAACCAAATTATTAAGATAAATTGTTCGGATAATAACCTCTTGGCCCAATATATATAGATATTCAAAGAATAGAAATCATTGGTTTTTTGTGGTCAATATATGAATATAGTTGTTTTGGTTGGACGAATGGAAAGAGAGTGACGGTCACAATGGTGGGGCCAGCGGGGCCTGCGACAGTGGCGTTTAAATAAGGAAGACACGAAATAAAGGTCAGCTGATGTGTCAAAAAGCGCAGATAATGGTTCTCAAAAAAAAAAGCGCAGATAATGGTGGGGTGGGGACCACCTCAGTTCGTCTCTCTCCCACATCCCCCACATTTTCTCTCTATTTTTCAGTAGACTTACCCAAAAAATCACATTCACATGATATTTAGATATATGTTTGATATATATTAATTGGGAAACATCGGTGACATTATATATATATATATATATATATATATATTTTTTTTTTTTTGATACACGGTTTTTTTGATAATTTGAACTATTTATCTTTAAAAAAAATCATTTATAGATTATTCTTGTAAAAATTAGACAAATTCAAAATTACTAAGACATTTATTTGTAGAAAAAAATGGACAAATACAATTCTATAAATAAATTCTAGACTCTTAATTCAACAATCAATTTTAGTAATTTTGGGTTGATATGATTTTTGAGAAAAAAAACATAGAAAAATAGACGGATTGTTTATATACATTACAAAATAAATTCTATTGTCAAAAAATTAGATAAAAAAATATATGGCAGGGATCTGCCATATATATTATGTGTCGAATCTTTATTATATGATCAAGATTGATGGTTGAAGGGACACCACTTGCACTTTGCACTGAGAAGTGAAAGGGACTTGGCTTTTGTCTCTCCTTGTTTCTTGTGGCTTAGATATTTTCTTCATTTTATTATTCAATTATCACCCTTTCTATTTAACTCTTGTTCTTTTTTTCTCAAATTATTTGGGATGATATTATTTTGTTCCACCTATTATAACAGATTTGGATCATCTTCTGAGCCTAAGGAAATGATCTTATTGATTATTGATTAAGAAGTGTGGGTCGTTGAATTTTCATCTAACAGTTATAATTATTATAACTTTAAAAGGACCTCATGTTTATAGTCGTTAAATGAAAATCCAACGGTCCACACTTTTTGGTCAAGAGGATCCTCTTCTTGGGCTCAGGAGAGGATCCAAATCCTATTATAACTAGTTAGTTCTAAATTTTTATATTTTAATATAACTATATCGTTGTATAATTTTATTTTAATATTACACAAATATAATAAATTGTCTTTTAAATAAATATGCAAATATTAATTTAAAATGTCAATAATAGCTCGCAAAAAGTAATAAAAAACATGAGATTTGAAGGAGTCTAATTTTGGAAATAAATGAAAATATCTAATTGGTGATAAAAGACTGGGTCTTGCAGTAATTATCCAAATCTCGGTTGGAGTATTGGGAAGATTAAATATCTTCCACAAAAATATCAAGAAAATAAAAAAAATGGGGATTTTTGGAGTTTTCTTAACATGGGAGAAAAGCCGAAAAGGTGGGAGACAGGTTACAACTCACCAGAAAGTGCCGGGTGTCTGAGGGTCCCCTGCGTCCTCAGCCACAAGATTTGTCCATCGCCCAAACTCCCTTCCAGAATTTTCCCACTCGACCTTTTTTATTTTCTCAAAAAATAAATTAAAATTAAAACTCTCCAGTCCGACTCTGACGTGGCCGATCCTGCTTTTATTTTGTTCCTCCTCCATATAACTCTCAATTTCCTTGTGCGCTTCTTCTCTACTCTCACATTTCTTCTCTCTTTACATCCTCCTTCCTCTTCTTCTCTGGATTTGGATTTGGATTTCTGTATTCTTTTTGCTTTTTCCGGGAATCCGACGCCGGAATCTGTTTGTTTGTTTCTCGGGAAAGTCCGAGGGGAGTTTATTTTCCCTTCTTCTCTCCCAGTTACAAAACTGTCGAGAAAAAGTTTGTTTTCAATATTTCAAAGACCATTTGAGGTAAGCTTCTGATTGATCTGCTTTATTTTCCCATAAAAATATTTTCTTTTCTTTTTTTGAAAAAAAAAATTGATAAAGTTTGATTTTTGTTCTTATTTGACCTTTTTTGTTCATAAATAAAGTATTTCTTTATTATTTAGATTCAGCGGAATATCCAATCGATGAAATTCTGTGTTTTTGATTTGTTGTGAATCAATTTTGCAGATTTAAGGTTTACTTTGGAGTAAACGTGTCGGACTTGTTCTGTTTGATTTGAGCAGCAATGGCAGTTGAGGTATGCAAAAGCAATTTGTCTTACTATGTTTCAATTTTCTGTCTTTTTAATCCATTGTTTTGGCCGGATCTGATGATGGCATGTCAGTGAATACTTTCTTGGTACAATTTGTTCCAAAAGTCGAGGAATTTGAGTGTCGATTCGATGCATACTTAGATAGATGTCTCAGATCAAGATGGGGTTTTGAGGCAGTGGTTAAATTAAGTTTATGATTAATTGATGAAATATTTCGTCGTCTGTTTCTGTGGATTGGTTGTGTTTCTGTTAACTATTTCAAGCAATTTACCTGATTACTTACTCTGTAGTGGATTAGTATTGCGATGCTTTCAAGCTCGTGCAGAGTTATTTTGTTGTGTGTTTTCGAACCGAGTTGTGTACTAATGAAGAACGCTTTTTCGCTTGTTTTTTACTATGTTGGAATCAAAAGTATCAACTCGACTTTGTGTTTGGACATAGGATAAGATTGAAGCCACAGGGTCCAACGCCTCTGTTGCGGTTGGAAATTGCAGTTCAAATGGTGATGCGCAATCTAATGCGGAGATTTGTTCATTTGGCAGTGACCATGCACCCAAGGTCACCTTCTTTTCATTGCCCTCGTCACGGAGGGGTCTCCTTTTGCCTAAAATTTATGTACCTGCTTAAATTTTCGCTCAACGGTTCTTTGTTTTCTTTCTTCAGGTTAGGAAACCGTATACGATTACAAAACAAAGAGCAAAATGGACAGAGGAGGAGCATCAGAAGTTCCTGGAAGCCTTGAAATTGTACGGCCGAGGTTGGCGTCAAATAGAAGGTATAAGCTCAGTGCCTCGTAACTTTGTCTAGATTCTAGAGTAACTTCCTTACACACCATCTGACGATGAAGTAAAACTCATCTTTATGCAGAACATGTAGGCACCAAAACTGCAGTTCAAATTCGAAGTCATGCTCAAAAGTTCTTCTCTAAGGTTTAATGCCTATTCGACTTTAGTACCTATTTCCTTTTGTAGTATGTACAGGATGCTAAAGTTTCTTGAGTTAGATATTCAAGACCCCCATTAAATCGTCCTTTGGCCGTATTTTTTATTAGCATGTATCCTTCACTGTATTGATATGTGGTTTTTCTTGCTTCCAGGTATCTAAGGAGTCATGTGGACCTAGCGAAGGCTCCATCAGGCCTATTGAGATTCCTCCTCCGAGGCCTAAGCGGAAGCCTGTTCATCCTTATCCACGAAAATCAGTGGATTGTCTCAATGGAACACCAGAAAGGTCACCGTCCCCACAATTTTCGGCTCAAGGGAAAGATCAACAATCTCCTCCTTCAGTATTATCTGCACAGGGTTCAGATTTACTGGGGTCTGCAGCTTTGGACCAGCATAACAGATCTTCAACCCCGACTTCATGTACCACTGACATGCACTCAACGGGCCCATCCCATTTTGAAAAGGAGAATGATTCTATGACGTTCAGCTCATCTGCTGAAGAAGTGCAAGGGTCCTCGCCATCAGTCCAGTTATCTGCTGACTCAGTCTTGGAAAAATTTCCGTCCGTGGTATGGTGAACTCTTTTTTTATTTCGATTAGATTCCTGTACTCTGTTTTGGTTGGCTTCTGACATGATCTGGATTTCCAGAATTACAGATCAGGTTCCAAGCACACTGTGAGTACTGAAGAAGATGCTGGCAATTCAGGAGCTTCTACGAGCATTAAGCTCTTTGGAAGGACAGTTTCGGTACTAGACTCGGAGAAACAATCTCCAACTGGTGCCAAGGATTCTAAGACGCCGACATCAAAGGTGGAACAAGACAATTGTGAGAGGGAGAATGATGAGCTTGTTCAAACACCAAGATCAGATCTGTTAGATACGAGTTTGACACTTGGTGGGATTGTTGGTAATTTGTATCCATCGGCATGTGGTGGTACAACTACTTGGGAACACCAAAAACATAGCCCTAATCCTGAAGCTCCTCTGCCATGGTGGGATATGTATCATGGTCTACCGTGCTTCCACATCAGATCGTGTAACCAAAACTCAGCTCAAATACAAATACGTGTAGATTCTTGTGCGGACGAAACAATTAAACAGACGGAAAGATCATTTGGTGGTGCAGTGGAAAGTTTAGGAGAGAAGCACGTAGAGTCTGTCAGTTCGTTACGCGAAGAAACTCGTTCGGCTCCCTGCAGTTCACGGAAGGGGTTTGTGCCGTACAAAAGATGTTTAGCAGATGTAAATAAGAACTCATCTGCCATAGTTTCTGAAAACATGAGGGACAGGCGACGGGCTCGCGTCTGCTCATAGTTTTGCATTCTAGACGTTCTGTTTTCAAGTATTTAGCAATACCCGCTTTGGTTGGAAGTTTACAATTCGATACGGTCCAGTCCGATGATGCTGCATTTATGCAACAAGCAATAATAGTAAACTTCCTTTCTGGATGTATTCTTTAAACGAAATTATTAGGCTTCAATTGCATACGCATTCGTTTCATTTGACAATTTTCTTGGTCGCGTCGCCAGTACGTAATCATTTCAATTCTTTCTTGCCTTGACAAAAAGGGGACTGAAAATCGCTACCCTTTAACGCATCGTCACAATTGCAGACAGAGAGAAACAGAGCACACAAAAATGAGAATTCTAATTAAGTGGATACTAGACAGTCTCCGAGTGAACGCATGGATGACTTTTGTGTAAACAACAATCAATGGCTACGGCCGACATTTCAATACCGTCTTGGGTTTTGTTTGGGGCCTTGACGAAGCTCTGATCTCGGCTTTGCAACTTCAACAAATATCACCCTCCCATCCAAAAACTGAAAAACAAAACAAGAAGCAAAGAAAAACTCAGTATCTGTTACGTCATTGTGGACGAGCCAATATAAGCAAAAGCTACCGAAGACATTGGAAACGAGTGCTGGTGTGCGCAGCCATCATTAGAAACGAGAAAAAAATTCAAGGTTCAAAAGGCCATCAGTTCATTATGTATATCTTCTCAAGTCACATAGGACACAAACTCCATCAAACAACTAACTCAATGTTTCATCAAGCTCAAAAACAATTGACTGTCTAGACTCTAGAACAGGTATAAAAGACTATAGTCATTGACCTACACGTCAATAAGTGAAGATTTCCAATTGAAAGCATGTACAACTTTTAAGACAAGATGTCACATCCCGGCCCGGAGTCCACCACGTCCCGGGCTCGCTCCACCACCTTAGCACGATATTGTCCGCTTTAGGCCCCAACCACGCCCTCACGGTTTTGTTTCTGGGAACTCACACGAGAACTTCCCAGTAGGTCACCCATCATGGAAGTGCTTTCGCGCGCTACTCGCTTAACTTCGGAGTTCCGATGGAACCCGAAGCCAGTGAGCTCCCAAAAGGCCTCGTGCTAGGTAGGGATGAAAATATACAATTAAGAATCACTCCCCTGGGCGATGTGGGATGTTACACAAGATTACACCTAGTTGTGGTTTCCCTTCTAACGGCAACACATCTGAGAGCAGTCATGGACTACGAAACTATGTACTACTTCACTAAACCAACATACTTTAAGGCCCTAGCATGCAAATCCTTGAGGGGATTTGATTTATGAGGTTAATGCATGTTTCTGAAAATAATGAGTCACAATCGGGGCAGCACAGCTGAAAATGATGGCATAACGTTAGAGCAGAGCATGACTATGCCTACACTTCTCGTGATATCATATGTTTCACGTTTATGCTAAGTTTACGCACCACCATTGGTTTAGATGATCATTACAAGGTGTAGAAACCTTTTCACACTGCCATCAAGGTACCCGTAAAACATAGGGGTCCCTGATAGAAGCAAGCCAAAATCCAAGTCTCCAAGATCTCTCTTGTGCAATAAGATTATATCAAATTACTACGAAACTCTATTCTCCTATGACACTCTCCTTGATATATTGTTGCTTCACTTGATGGCGAATGTTATCTTATAATAGTAAAGCCCGAAAGTCTGAGAGAGTATCTCAGCTTTGAAAACAGTTCAAATGCTCTTGAACTGCTGCTTTGGTGCATGTTTTGTACAAGTAGACATTTGATGAACAAATAGGCCAACTAATTGAATATGGATAATAACAAAGTAGGAAGCATTGCTAGGACAAATTTGGGGCATCTAGAATACTCACGAACACAAACATAAAGCAGTAGTATGAGACTCTCAAGCAGTGTAATTTCTTTCATAATTATTTATCTTCTTTTCGAAAAGGAAAAATGGAGCCTCCTGGGCAGCACGTACCTTTCCGTGCATTCCCTCGATAGCCTTTTGAGATTGCTCTTCAGTTTCATAGCGGAGAAAAGCAAAGCCTCTTGGCCTATTTGCAATTCTATCCATCACCAAATTGACTACAAATTGAAATGGAATTAATTTCGAAACCCAAAACAAAGTTAAAATCGACAGAAAAACAGCTGACAGAGGCTAATCGCAGCTCAACTAAGAAAAGAAACATGCCAAAATCTTTGATGCTCTCACCTTCTACAAGTTGTCCAAAATTTTGGAAAGCATTTCGTAAGCTCTCTTCAGTGGTACGAAACGAAAGCCCTGCATGACAATTGACAATTGACAAAGCATCCTTAATTTGGAGGACCCAAATGCATAAATTGTCCATCATTCAAGCCTCCAACAGAGACCCCATCAAGTTTGGTGCTTTACAAATGCAAATTGAAAAAGTTTTCACCTTTCAATCATACAATTGCAATTCCATGTTAAAGTAAAACCAAATGAATTTATCAATCAATATAAATATATATATATATGAAGGGAAATTGGGAAAGAGAGAAAAGCTAACCGCTGACGTAGAGCTTGGTGGAGGTGGAGGGAGAAGAAGAAGAAGGAGAAAGAGACGCTGATGGCGAGAAGGTGCGGTTTTTGTGTGTGGGAGAGGAGGAAAGGGACTGCTTATTCCGCCAAGCACGGCAGGCAATTGAGGAGGTGAAAGTGAGGGTGCAGCAGCCGCCGACCACCTGAGAAGATGTTTTCTGTTGTTTGAGTCTGTTGCTCGAACTGGAAGGCCATGGATTTGCAGGGCTCCTCAGGATAACAAAGGCCGTTGCCATTTGCCGTCAGTCAGTCTACACTCTGCTTCCACGAGTCTATAAAGTTGTGGGGAGAGCGTTTTAGGTACGTCTGCCCTATGGGGCGTGGTGAGTGCCAGTGGGGCCAAACTTGATGATTTAGGGACCAAACTTTAATAAACTTTTTCTTTTAAAACCCGAAGTGAAATAATCACAAAACTCAGGGGGCAAATTTATAATTAACTTAAAAAAGAAAAACAATTATTAGTCACAGGAGGCAGAGCGGCGGGGCGGCAAAGCTGAGTTAGGCAGCAGTGGTTGCAGTAGGCGTCCGGCAGGGCTGCGAACATGAATATGGTAATTAACACGAGACCGGCAGTGCTGTACCATTACCCTTGCCCGGACGGCGCGTTTGCTGCTTTGGCGGCACACCTCTACTTCTCCGCCGTCTCCGTCGAGCCCCTCTTCTTCCCCAACACCGTTTACAGCCCCATCACCCCCCAACACCTCCCTCTCGCCGATATCGACCACCTTTACCTCCTCGACTTCGTGGGCCCCTCTGGTTTCGTCCAGAAGATCTCCTCCGCGGTCCCGAACGTCGTGGTCTTGGACCATCACAAGACTGCCATTGGAACCCCCATAGGCGGAAACGTGGCCGGCGTCGTAGACATGAACAGGAGCGGCGCCACCATCGCTTTCGATTACTTCAGGGACAAAATTGACGCCGACAACAAGGCGGCGGTTGCTCGGTTTGACGCAGTGAGGAGGCTGTTCGAGTATATCGAGGATGGGGATCTGTGGAGGTGGATGCTTCCAAAGAGTAAAGCTTTCAGTAGTGGTTTCAAAGATTTGAACCTTGAATACGACGTCGGGTTGAACCCATCTTTGTTCCAACAGGTAATTTCAAATTTGCTTGCCTTATTAATTGATGTTGTTGAATTTACTGAAAAGTTGTGTGCTTTATTGATATTTGGTTTGAATGAGCAGCTGCTTTCTTTGGATTTGGAGTCTTTGATTAATGAAGGAATGGCGAGCTTATCGGAAAAGCAGAAATTAATAGATGAAACGCTCAGTTCGTCTTATGAAATTGCACTTGGCGGTGGAGCCTTTGGACATTGCCTGGTATTATTACTTATTAGTGTACTTCTTTTCTGCTTTCTATTGGACGGCTGCTGCTGCTCTGTGTGTGTGTCTGAACAACATAAGAAAGAAATAAAATTGATAGGAAATGCATAATCTTATCTTTTCTGCTTGTAGGCTGTCAATGCCGATTCTATCTCCGAGTTGAGGAGTGAACTCGGACATCAATTAGCTACTAAAAGCCGTAGTCTAAGTTTAAGGTATGTGGCATTCTGTTTCTTTACTCATGGTCTTGAAATGACATTTGTCGGAATTAGCGTTCAGGGCACGCTTCATGTTGCTGCTCTTTCCATTACTGCAATGCTTCAAGATTAGAAGTCTTGGGCTTTTTTAGTTTGAATTCAGTTTTATCATTGGTTGCGGGCCTCATAGAGGACTAAGAGGAGAGACTACTCAATTGTTGAATCCCATCCTCCAGAAACTGCACGTTTCTTAGAATCGCAATCCATACCTTTCTATCCATTCTCTTTGAAGGGGTTGCAAATCATGTCTGATTAGGAGGACCAAGTGATTCGCTCAAAATTTGAATCTCAACTACTGACACAGTAATCTTTTCAAGAGCTGGATTCATGATGATGATATTTTTGGTGAAGGAAGTGTATTGAGGAAGTAGGCTTGCAAACCAATTTGCAATTAAAATAATTTTATGAAAGAATTGTAGAAAGAAAATGTGAAAGTTTCAAGGGAGAAACCATGTGATGTAAAAATAATCGCACTATATCCAAACTGATGTTAGGACTGAACGCTGAAGCATGTTGAACCGTTGGGGCTATTTTTGCTCCTGTTAAAACTCGGTAAAAAGTCTGGTTAGTATAGACCCTTGTTAGACTCCTTGAATGCACTATTCTGGCAATTCATTATTTCATCTTGTTTTTCTGTTTGAAATCGATGTGGATAAACTCAGTAGAAAAGGGTTATATCCTGTCATCTTCATTTTTCAGAACTATATTCATGTTATTTTGTTTGTTTTCTGTGGAATCGGTTTTTTATGCCTGTTTATTGAGGTTGTTCTCTTCCAAGCATGGTTTTATTGAGCTCAATTCAAACTGTTCCACCCATCTGGAAATCCAATGCACATTTGGTAACTTGTTTGAGATGTATTTTAATCAGTGCCATCCTTCCATTTTACACTTTAGTTATGTTTTTTGTTTCTTTTAAATTCTTTGTAGGGGCATTGGTGCTGTTGTATACAGAGTGCCTGAGCTTGAAAATGACCAAATGCTAAAAATAAGCCTTAGGAGTGTGGACACCGAAGACACAACACTCATCTCACAGGTTGTTCTGTCATCACATGGATTTTCTTTCTGCCTGTTAAACATGGAATTAACTGGCACATATATGTAGTAATTTGGAAAAAGCTAAAACGCGTTTTGCATTTTCTTCTCAGGAATTTGGAGGCGGTGGGCATCGAAATGCTAGTTCCTTCATGTTAGGCTCTGCAGAATTCAAGCAGTGGAAACTGTGAAGATTAACATGCCATTCAAGAGGTACAACATCAAATTCGATTTGTTAAAAATGTATATATATAGCTTTATTCCACAAGTAACACCCAAATCACCTCAGGAAAGAGTTTAATAACAAAATCTCTAGACTGGTCATCTGAGATATTGACTCACTAGAGAATCAGCCAACAAAACTAAACCAAACCAAACCAAACCGTCATAAAATGACTAAAGCCAATTAAAGATAATTAATCTACCAATTAATGAAGGTATGATGACAAGCCTTACAAACTTTGTCTCGTGTTCTTCATGAAATCGTGTATATATGTTGTATTTTATTGTTTGAAAGTTACATCCGTCCATACATGCATTTTCAGGTTATTTACCGCCAACATCAATATTCCGGTAACCATCCATATACTCATCTCCATTGATCAGTTAGTTTGTGAAGGCCACATGAGAGCTGATCTTCACCACTGACACCAGCGTTAGAAGAACACTGCATCCACGTATCATCTGTGATGAACTGCATCCACGAATCGTCTTTGTCATCTTCCTCCTGCGGGCATGAGATTGACGATGACGATGCCATCGGATTCTCCGGTGACAGGGTTTGATCACAGTGATCATTGTTTACACCCTGTGATCTTTCATGAATATTGTTTAGTGTTAAATGACTTGATTGGCCTTGCTGCTCTTCAATCTCCGAGCAAATGCCATTTTTCTTAACACGCGACACAATGCAAAAGAATCCTGCATATAAATTCATACTAGTTAATTAATTTATCTAGTCAAAGTGTAAAAGGAGTTGGAATAAAATATTATATAATTGATAACAATATATGCGTATTAATTATTTTGGACTTTGGAATAAAGTAAAAAGTCCCCGACACCTTCTTACACAAATGAAAGTGATCGATGTGTAGTTAGGCTGCTTTATAATTAGTGGTAGGCTGGTCTTGAGATTAGAATAATTTCTTATTTTGATCTCTCAAAAAATAAAAATCGATAAAAGTTATCTTTAAGTTTATTTACGGTAAACATTTTAGTTATTCGTGAAAAATCTTCTTGTTTTTTTTTCTTTTTCAAGGGGGATAACTGGTGGCAAGCACGGTTATCCATCATTCCGAGATGAAAAATCTCCTTGTTAAATAGGGGGGTTGTTTGACAAAAATATATATAAAAGGTTGGTCATGTGATTGTTCACGTGACAATTTAGTAAGATATTGATAGATTTTTATGGAATGACTAAAGTGATTTACAGTGGACAAAATCATGGACCACTTCTACAAGTGTGGAGTTATGCCAGATATCATTTTAGTTTGAAAGCCTTTGTTATATGATCAAACATAAGTAGAGTATAATAATCCTTAGTTCTTAATTAAGCTGGAGTTAATTAAGGGATATTAATTCATATCTGAATCTTGTGGAGGATTGTACTTTTGTCTGATTATAAAAAGGAAAAGGAGATTTAAGCGATCCAGTGCAAGCAACGAATATATGTCAGCTATGTGTTTATTTATTCCAGTATTTATATATTGCGAAAGTATAATATCGTAAATTACATGCATGCAATTCCAAACTCATGCAAGTTTCACGTTGATAGTTTTACTTTTCATTATTATACACGATAGCTTATGGTCATTATGTTCTATAATTAATCCTTTAATTTATAATTGGAGTGTTAATTAAGTTTAGGGCAAAAGAGGTAGAAATTAAAATAAAAAAGTACGAGAAAAAAAAGGAAATGCTTTTCTCCCTGCCTCAAGCATCGAACTTCATGCTTTTTAGGTCAAATATAGTCTGCTGATTCGAAAAAAAGATTAATCTCTGAAACAATGGTCTTATGGTTTCCTTTCTGTGCGATTTTGGTAGAGATAATAAAAAGGTCGTACCCAGTGCACAAGGCTTCCGCTTTACGCAGGGTCTGGAAGAGGTGAATGTCGGCTAGCCTTACCCCCATTTATGGAGAGGCTGCTCCCAAGTCTCGAATCCGAGACCTACCGCTCATGGGCGAAGGCACTTGCCATCGCACCAAGTGAAGTTATACTTCCCTCAACTAAAACTCACAATAATTATTCTAATCATCTTTTTTTTTTCATCAGCTAATCAGTAACAGTGAGTTCCTTCTTGATCACCACATAATTAGTCCTAATCAATAAATTAATGAGAGTGATCATCTTAATTAGTTCTATTCAATAAAATAGTGAGAGTGATCATCTTAAATTTATAAGTCCCAGTGGCACTTAATATTGATTGAATCCCACCATACTCAACAATTTAATGATGAGAATCATTTGGGACAAATAAAATGAGCTACAGATACAAAGAGAATAACCCTTAATCCTCCTAACTGACTAATTAACATGTGGACATTATATATATAATCGGGTGTGCTATCCACACACCCCTAATTACTTCCGACACACCTCTTATGTAATTATGTCATTTGATCGTCATTAGTTCATTCAATCAGATGGTTGAAAATTAAAAAGGTGTGTGAAAAGTAAAAAGAAGTGTGTGGATATCACACCCCATTATAATAATACATATGTATGCATTATTAATTAATTTAGAGCACGAACAATGCGTGTATAAATTGATGGAGAACAAAGTACCTGAATTGCGGCAGATGAGGAGGAGGTGTCGGGGTCGGAGGAGCAGTAGTAGTCCTTGTCGTCGAGGCGATACTCGTGCATGACCCAGTCAGTCCGAATGCCCTGAGGAGCTCGGCCTCTGTAGTAAACCAGCGTTTTCTTCATTCCGATCGCTCGATTCTGGCACGTCACTCTCCTGTCTTTTCCAGTCGACTTCCAATATCCTGCTCTCGTTGCTCTGTTTGTTCTGAAGCCATTAGGGTATTTTCGATCCCGCGGTCCAAAGAAGTACCACTCCGGGTCTCTACTTGGCAAAAACGATTTTTCTGCATTGATTGATGCACCAATCAAATATGTAATTGTATACAACTATACATGTAAATATAGATGACATAATTTGCATTGTATGTATCCTACATATAGCGCTCAAACGCTAACGAGTAAGTTAAGTATCATGATTGGTATACTGCTTGAATAATAATGATGTTGATTTGTAAGAGTACTCAAATGATGTTCGATGAACGACCTGCTAATTCCCAAGGCTCGCATTTGTAGAGATCAACTTCAGGAATGATGTCGAGCTCAATCTCTTGGCCGTTGATTTTCCTCTTGAGATAATAATTCACCAGCTCCTCGTCCGTCGGGTGGAACCTAAAACCGGGAGGTAATCCCACTGGCGCCATATAATTGATATGAACGCACGGCGCAAGCTAGCTAGTTTTTTTTGTCACTGATTGTTTCCTTGCGACCGATCGATCGTCCTTCTCCTCCTCCTCCTCCTAGCTAGCTAGCTAGTGATTTATGGCATCATGATCATGTTATATATAGAGGTATAAAAAGGACCGAAAGTCCCTTGTATTAAGGTCTTTCCTCACTCCTCATCAGGACCTCACTTTTCCTTTTCCAGATTCTCAGACAAAACCTTCTTCCTATTGACACTTCTCTGCCTTACTGAATATTTTTAAATTTTGCTTATTATCTTTCAATTTTGTTTAATTTGTTAACAAAAATCATATATATATATATATGTGTGTGTGTGTGTGTGTGTGTGTGTGTTCATACATGTTATATATATTCTCATGTTAAGATCTTGTCAAAATATATATATATATATATATATATATATATATATATTCTCCTGTTATGATTTTATGTCAAATACATTGTTGTTAGACTGAATTTGAGTCATATATATTCAAACATTCGCCACATCACAGTGTAATGTGTCACTCGTTATTACAAAACGATCATATATTTTGTTAATTAATTTGGTAGCTTAATTTCACTTTTGTTTTTTCAAGCCTCAATCCCCTTATCCCTTTCTGGCCGAAGGCCCTTTTATAAGTTACAGTTACAATATTCTCTTATCAGATCTTGACAATGAGTTGAGTTGTTACTAAATTAGCTAAAGTTATACTCTACTACTGGACAAAACACAAAACAAGGCTATTATATATTTGACATCTCCATTCACCTTTAAATAGTATATTTTTATTGTCTTTGATTGTTTCTCTTCTACTTTTACCAGCTATTAGTCACTACAAAATCTATATATCAAACTTTAGACATAGATCGTGTGATGTCATGAGTTTCACAAGACACAGTTTACTAAAACATGATTGGCTTCATTCATAAGTTATAAGACCATCTCTCCAATTATCAATTAGATGTTATAATACACGTATACATGTGTTTATACTCACGTATCAGGACGAAGCTGAAGAAGGACCAAGGGACATGTGCCCGGCCCTCCCCCTCGTTTTTAAGGTGGAATGACAAAACTACTTCCAAAGTATAAGATATCCAATTCTTTATAAATACATACGAGTTTCTAAACAACACACACATCTATTTATCTAGAATTATTTATAGAGTCTAACTACTGGATCAGATTTATTGGCTTATTGTGGATCTTTGTGGTGTATGGTTACCACTTTGTATTATATAACTTTTGTATGTTAGACGTTATAAATAAACATAAGGATTATTTGCATGAGAAGAGTAAGTCTCATACTACCTATTTTCATCTACTAAAATAGCATGAGCAAAATTATCTCTAAATTGATCACAACTATACCTTATAGAAGGGTAATGTTAGCAAGACCAAAATTTTAATTTGACCACATATTTCGTACCTTGATAATGCCAAGAAACCAATCCAATCCTTCTTTAACAACCAAAAATCTTATCATCTCTCCCCCCAAAACTAAGCACATAATCTGTGGGCCAAAATTTATTTTAGGTAATGCTATTCATACCATGTTTTTATACCACATTTCTATACCACCTTAAGTGGCATCTGATGTGCACAACCACATCATTTGAAAATTTTGCAAAATCCAAGGAAATGAAGGAAAAAGACTCCTCGTATACCACAATCATCATTTAATTAACTAATTTTTCTTATTTATTAGTTTATTAAATAATGAACTAAATTTAAAAATCTGATTAATTCAAATGATGTGGTTGTCCACAGCAAATGCCACCTAAAGTTTTTTTTTTTTAATTATACATACCTTACTATTGGTTGAAACCTTATTCCTTAATTTGTCCAAAAGCCAATTTAACTTGTGTTTACAGTTTGAGAGTCGTAGTGATTAGGTGAAAGTAGAGAACGATGAGGGAGATGTTAAGTTTTGATAAAATGGTTGCGCGTGACATTATTTCATGGAATGCAATGATAGTTGGTTATGGGAATCATGGCCTTAGGATGGAAGCATGCACGGAAGCAATTTTACAGTTTCATCATATGCAGGCATCTGGTATTAAGCCCGATGATGTGACTTTCATTGGCCTCTTATCTGCTTGCAGCCATTCGGGGCTTGTAATTGAAGGCAAACACTGGTTTAGTGCAATGAGTCAAGAGTTCAACATAACCCCATGGATGGAACATTGTACATATGCGTGGTGTCTCTCGCCCGGGCTAGACTTTTGGATGGGGCACAAAGTTTCATCCAAACAATGCCGTTTTAGGATGATGATCATGTGTGCAGCGCATTGCTTGCATGATGCATGCAGAGTCCATATAATAATATGGAACTCGGGAAAAAGTATCCAAGAAAATTCAAGGGAAAGGATTTACAGGTACTGGAAATTTGGTCCTTTAACTTATACGCTGTTATTGGGAGGCGGGATGATGCAGCCGATGTCAGAATCAAGTAGAAGGACCAAGGCCTTAAGAAGAGTCCAGGATGCAATTGGGTTGAGATCAATGGTGTTATCCATGGATTTTTAGGTGCAGATCTGTCTCATCCTCAAT